CAGAACACGCTGGAGGGACTATGTCTCTCAGCTGGCCTGGGAACGCCTCGGCATTCCCCCGGAGGAGCTGGAGGAAGTGTCTGGAGAGAGGGAAGTCAGGGCATCTTTGCTTAGACTGCTGCCCCCGCGACCCGGTCCCGGATAAGTGGAGGAAGAAAATGGATGGATGGATGGATGGATGAATGGATGGACATTGTACCTGCAGTGCATTTACAATGGGGCAGGAGGGTGCCTGGCCCTGGTATAAGCACATATGGTGGCAAAACAAAACAATCTAATTTGTCAACATTTATGTGATGATGAGATGCTTCCTGTAAGGCTGCAGCCCGTCCTGGGACTTGTCATGTGCTGCAGACTAGTGTTTAGGTCCGGTGGTTATAGTTTGGGAATATGTCGTTGATTTGTATTTTAAAAAACACTGCAGGGAGTCCATTTATAACCCCCGGTTCCGTTCCCACACACACAGTTAAATACTATTAGAAAAATAAGAAAAAAAAGACACCGACACATTTGCAGCTCAAGTGAACCTGTATTTTCAACAAGCACACCGTACATACAAACATCACTGGCTTTATCACAATGTCTTTATTAGCACAGGTCACACTAAATGACAATATGACACTGCGTGTGCATTTCCATCCATCTCATTAGAGACCTATGTGTCAGAGGGTCTGTAATCAGTCAGCTCAGTTAGAACATCAGTCAGTTCTCTCCTGGACATGGCAGCATTAAGGTGCTCATCAAAACAGAGAGTCGACTCAGCAAGTTGCAACAAAAGCTTGAACATCATTTACAGTGATACTGGTGATCTTTCTGAAAACAGATATTTCCATATTTATTCAAATACAAACACACATAGCAAGCTGATACTCAGCTCCACGGTTCTTCACCCAGTTACAGTGCCTTGCGAAAGTATTCGGCCCCCTTGAACTTTGCGACCTTTTGCCACATTTCAGGCTTCAAACATAAAGATATAAAACTGTAATTTTTTGTGAAGAATCAACAACAAGTGGGACACAATCATGAAGTGGAACGAAATTTATTGGATATTTCAAACTTTTTTAACAAATAAAAAACTGAAAAATTGGCCGTGCAAAATTATTCAGCCCCCTTAAGTTAATACTTGGTAGCGCCACCTTTTGCTGCGATTACAGCTGTAAGTCACTTGGGGTATGTCTCTATCAGTTTTGCACATCGAGAGACTGAAATTTTTGCCCATGCCTCCTTGCAAAACAGCTCGAGCTCAGTGAGGTTGGATGGAGAGCATTTGTGAACAGCAGTTTTCAGTTCTTTCCACAGATTCTCGATTGGATTCAGGTCTGGACTTTGACTTGGCCATTCTAACACCTGGATATGTTTATTTGTGAACCATTCCATTGTAGATTTTGCTTTATGTTTTGGATCATTGTCTTGTTGGAAGACAAATCTCCATCCCAGTCTCAGGTCTTTTGCAGACTCCATCAGGTTTCCTTCCAGAATGGTCCTGTATTTGGCTCCATCCATCTTCCCATCAATTTTAACCATCTTCCCTGTCCCTGCTGAAGAAAAGCAGGCCCAAACCAGGATGCTGCCACCACCATGTTTGACAATGGGGATGGTGTGTTCAGGGTGATGAGCTGTGTTGCTTTTACGCCAAACATAACGTTTTGCATTGTTGCCAAAAAGTTCGATTTTGGTTTCATCTGACCAGAGCACCTTCTTCCACATGTTTGGTGCGTCTCCCAGGTGGCTTGTGGCAAACTTTAAACAACACTTTTTATGGATATCTTTAAGAAATGGCTTTCTTCTTGCCACTCTTCCATAAAGGCCAGATTTGTGCAGTATACGACTGATTGTTGTCCTATGGACAGAGTCTCCCACCTCAGCTGTAGATCTCTGCAGTTCATCCAGAGTGATCATGGGCCTCTTGGCTGCATCTCTGATCAGTCTTCTCCTTGTATGAGCTGAAAGTTTAGAGGGACGGCCAGGTCTTGGTAGATTTGCAGTGGTCTGATACTCCTTCCATTTCAATATTATCACTTGCACAGTGCTCCTTGGGATGTTTAAAGCTTGGGAAATCTTTTTGTATCCAAATCCGGCTTTAAACTTCTCCACAACAGTATCTCGGACCTGCCTGGTGTGTTCCTTGTTCTTCATGATGCTCTCTGCGCTTTAAACAGACCTCTGAGACTATCACAGTGCAGGTGCATTTATACGGAGACTTGATTACACACAGGTGGATTCTATTTATCATCATTAGTCATTTAGGTCAACATTGGATCATTCAGAGATCCTCACTGAACTTCTGGAGAGAGTTTGCTGCACTGAAAGTAAAGGGGCTGAATAATTTTGCACGCCCAATTATTCAGTTTTTTATTTGTTAAAAAAGTTTGAAATATCCAATAAATTTCGTTCCACTTCATGATTGTGTCCCACTTGTTGTTGATTCTTCACAAAAAATTACAGTTTTATATCTTTATGTTTGAAGCCTGAAATGTGGCAAAAGGTCACAAAGTTCAAGGGGGCCAAATACTTTCGCAAGGCACTGTAGCGGCTGGAACATCAGAGTATGCAACGTTAGAAACTGCACTTAATCTTTCACCACATTCCAAGCTATCGACTGTTTCCTTCTTCTCAAACCTGTCTCTGGTGTTGTCTTTCCAATGTTTTGGTGATAATTTTGAAATTCTTTACAGATCTTTTGAAAATAAAGATGTTTGTAATGTTTGAGAAAGGATTTTGAAGGTGACTAAAACAATCTGTCACCTCCTTTTCCAAATCGCTGCCTTCAATTTCTGAAGTACAGTTGAGACCTGCCTCTCTCCTCTGCTGGTAAACAGAGGCCTGAGAACGTGAGGGCTCAGCACCTTCATTCCAAGTGTCCACATTATCAGTAGTATAAAACTGTGCACCTGTGGAAATGAATAATGCTTACTCTGTAAACTTTGCTTACTTGGTAATATCATAGAAATCGACCACCTACCAATTAAATACAAAACCCCACTCCTCATTTCTCTAGCTATTGCCAAGAAAACAATCTTTCAAAACTGGAAATTAAAAAATCTCTACATATAAACCACTGGACCAATCTTCTGATAGAATACATCACATTAGAGAAAATGACATCCACTCTCAAGAATAGTTTATCAGCTTTTTATGACACATGGAACCATTTTTAACACATTTCAACTTGAACCAAACACCTGGAGCTGAGGCCACGCACATTCCCACAAACCTCTAGAAATGTAACAAGCTGATTTTATTAGTAGTACTGTTATCATCATTATTATTGGTAATTTTTTATTTATTATTTCCCTCCTTTACCCTTTCTTGCGTTTCATAGACTGCATAAGTTGGAAATACCCACACTGTCACACACTACAATCTTGTAAAACACTATCATATATCTGTTGTCTTGTCTCCCATGTTTGGTACTGTTTTGTTAATGTGTTACTTTGTTTCAATAAAAAAAAAAAATGAATAATGCTGTTTTACTTTGCAAAAAAATCTAACATTTTATTTAGCTTCCTATTGTTAGGAGAAACGACAGTATTCACATAGTGTTACTTGCCTGAAGATGCCAAATACAAAAGTGCTGGCTATTAATATTTTTTTATATTTGGGTTTATTATAAAGAGTTTCATTGTATTATGCTATAGAAAACAGTTGCATGCATTGTGCGGTTCCCCAGTGCCACCACCAGAGGGCCCCCAGAGTCAATTTATGAACCTTTAATTTTTAGAAAACCTATTGGCACGTGAAAACCACCCAGGTGTTCTGGCTCCTCTCATAATTAATTTAGTTTTACTTTTTCACCTGCCAAAAGTTTACACTGAAACAAACTAGTCCAGACAGAAAATCAATTTTCATAACTCTCAGATGCTGCAACAAAGCCAACAGACAATACATTGTCAACCTGAACTTACATCCCTTCACTTACTGCAATATTTTCACTGCTAGAAAGCAAAACTAACATTTGTTTCTCATGTATCAATGTTTACCTGAAGCTGTGTTGTTGAGCGTGGTCCGTTTCTCCTGGCTAGCACTGCAGCGCCGAGGGGCCCCAGCTGTTGCTGTGTCACATCTTGTTTACACCAGGGGCCGAGGCTACGTTTGACCTAGTTGCTGAAAGGCCCAAGAGGCAAAGTGGGAAGCTCACTGCACTTAACAGTGGTGTGTTGGGGAAAAGAAAGAAGCCTTTTTGTCACAGAGATGGATTGACATTTGACAGTTTGGTGTCAAAAAACTACTGTAGCTGTAACTAACCACAATGAGGAAGGTGAGGGCACTTTGTGGGAGGGCAGAGTCAGAGACAGATATGCAGGAATCGGTGTGTTTCCTCATACTGAAGATGTTTTATTAGGTTTACTCACTCAAAACTAACGATCACAAGTTGTTACTGCATCCTGTTCAATGAGAAATTATCAGGCCAATACTAAATAACATGAAATGACACCAGGAACATGTGTGACTTCAATCTTTGTTCCCCCACACCATCTCAGATTTGTCTAGCACTTTCTTCATTACAACAAAACATTATGGGACAGCCGGCCAATGAAGGACAACAGTTTGCTGCTGTACACTGTAAATGTGTTCAACATGCAAGTGTCCTGCATTTGGTAAAAGACTTAACACACCTTAGCATTAGCTTTTCCCCACAGGGCTAACCTGCTTCTCTCTCACACACATGCTGACTCACAGCTGCTCACTACAACCAGTGTCTGTTGAGCAGCTCACTCAAGGTTTGAGGTACAACAGTGTTTTTAAATCCTGAAGTGAATTGTCTCCATTCAGCCAGACAGAAAATGTGCAGTAGAGTCCATGGAAAGAAATGATCCATGTATCTTCATAGCTGAATGAAGTCCCACCTTCACTGTCCAACAGGCTGCAGTCACTGACTGCACGAGTCCTGAGCCACATCTGGATTCTGAGGTAAACTGAGCAGTTCTTCGATCCTCTCTAAGTCTTTACTGGTTTCCTCTGCCTGAGAGCTGACATTCAGATCACCAATCAACTCATTTGTCAGCTGGAGACGGGCTGTCCTAATGAGTAACAGGTTAACAAAAGAACATCAGGATAAAACATAATCTGGTGAATTATCCTAGAAAAGCGTAAAAGATTTTGATTCAGCTCTTCTAATGTAACTTACCAGTCTGCGAGTCTGCGTTCATAAAGTTCCCTGCGCTCTCTCCTTCTCCGCTCTTGGACCGTTTCCCCTGCCAGTGACTGCAGGCTGATGATCAACGCACCAGTGGGAACCCTGAGCAGAATGATTTTATATTACGATAAATATATTAAACACATATACCACCAGTGAAAAGCTTGAAGACATTTTACTGCTCCAGTCAATGGAAAAGTGTGTCCAAACCTGTGAATACTGGGTTAAGAACCTTCCTAAAACACTTCCTGCCACATTATGTTAAAGCAGCTATTTTAATTACATAAACCAAGGCATCTGTCAGTTACACCACTATAACAATTTAGTGTCAAATTTCCTCTTCACTGCCCCTAACAAACTGTGCAGCCCCTCCTGCACCACCCCACCTTCCACTCACACCACCACGTGCACAGACAGGATGATTCTGGGGTGAGATCTGGAGCGTGATGTGCTTTCCGATTAGCTGCCTGCTTTCATTTCAACCCCTTCTGCCCCGAATGCACCTGGCAGAGCCAGGGCTGGGCCTGTTTGCACACATCGAACGCTCCAGGTGGCAAGTTAGTGAGGCAGACAGTGAGAGGGAGGCCAGGAGGTGGAGGAGATGCTAGGACGGAGCCAACAGGAGAACAGATGAGGGCTGAGCCAACTTAGAGCTGACAATCACAGAAACAATCCAAACGGGCCCCTCCAGTCTGTTACACCATCAGACACTTCACAGTCTGTCTCCATTACACAATCACATTCAAATCTGCTCTTGGCTCTGTGCAGTCAGCTCCAAGTGGAAGAGAGGGTTGAGGAGAGATGAGACGGAGTGACGCACAAGCCTATTCAAACCGTGGTAGATGGAGATGAGATGCTGGAATAACAGACATGGTAGAAATGGAGAGGGACAGCTGCTGCCTTGGCCTGCCTCCTTGCTCTAGTACCCAAAACATGTCCCTCTGCAGTGCACGAGTCCCTCAGGCACTGTGAACAGAGCAGGGGGTGGGGGTGGGGGGTTCAGCTGGGCGACAGAGGGCTGCTGGGAGGGGCGCAGCTGGCTGCCAGAGTTCTCACCACTCTCAAACATACAGGCATAAACATACATGAGCAAAAACATGTCTGTTTAAAAACACACACACACATATTCCTGATAATGTAACTCGGTCTAGTCAAGAGGATTGAAGGGCTTCTTCTAGATCACTGACTGTCATAGGCTTGGGAGCAGAACTGGTGACCAGTGGATGTAAATGGTTGCTTCTGGAAGCACAAGCCCACCTTACTTACCCCAGCACTGCTCCAATGACTGCCCCTGCCACCAGCGCTCCCATGCCCAGGTTCAGTCTAAAAAGGCCTCCAGTGACAGCTGCTCACACACATACACACGGTTTTATTATCATCATTCATAACTCTGTCATTATTAATGTCAGTGCCAGAAATGTTACTAACTATGAACTTTTCAAAAGCTGAAAGACTGTAACTGGACAAACAAACAGTTCCTGCACAATATAACTTTACATTTGCTGGACAGTGCATTTCTGGGGTGATCTGGTCGTTTTATATTGGTTCGGGCCAGTTGAAGGTCTTTATTTAAATAGTTGCAGTAGAGAGATGGGTGATTACATGCACATGCACTTTTAGTTAACTTTCCCTGGATAAATAGGCTTTAACTAAGTCCTGTTGAAGCCCATTGTGACTCACCTCCAGCAGCAACATAATGGCTGAGGGTATACTTGTCTCTGTACACAGAGAGGCCTGTGCTGACAGAACTAGAGAGGAGAGACAGGCAGAGAAAGAGAGTGAAGCCAACAGATCTAAGGAGGATGATCACTGAAAATAGAAGTAATCAAATAATACAAAATCTAATATCAATGACATTCTGCTCAGCTACATTATAGTTAATGTCTGTTAGAGCTAAAACACTTGAAAACATCCATCCGCAGATCATTTTTGAGACATTACTTTGAAATGGCTCATTTGTAGACATTCCTCAGCATCATCTACTTTTTTTTTTTGCTTACTTGAATATGGTGACAAATGCAGCCACTCTCCAGCTCCATCTCCATCCGTATCTCACAAAACCCCGGATAGCTGCATTATGGGCGGAGCGCTGATTTAGACAGAAAAGACACACAATAACATGAGGATGCTGCTGTATATTCCCAAGATGCTGTAACTTCTATGTTGTTTTTCCAGTTGTTTCCTTAAACTACAAATCACAACACTACTTCAGGAGTATCTCATCCAAACATTAAGGTAAAGTTGTATTGTTGTGAAAAGGTAGTTTTACCATTAAACTGCAACCTTAAGTCTTTCTTGTTCAGTTACTCAACACTGGGAGGCAGAGCTGATACAGATTTGACTCACCACTGCGTCCACACGACTAGTGTAGATTTCCGCCTGGCTGATCTGGATGTATCTCTGCCGGGCGTGGCGTGCAGCTGGCAGGCCTCCATAGAGAAAGCCTGTGAATGCAGCTACTATACCACTCTTTATCACGTTGGTCAGCTCCTCCGGGTACCTTTGTGTCACACTACAGGAAGACAAGAGTGACATGTGTCATTGGAGAAAGTCCATATCTCTTGACCCTGATCTTCAGCCATTATTAGTGGCTCATCAATAATAACTAGTAAACACAGGGAGCTAAGACATGTTGGAATTTATGCTCTAAAAAAAGACTTAAACCATTAATAAGTTAGAATGGCTGCTGATTAATTATCTGTTTATTAGATAATCAATTAATCAACTAACTGCATCAATATCAAATTTTCCATTACACTGTCTACAGTATAAAAAGCTACAGAACACCCAGCAACCAAATGGCTACAGTATTGTTTTTTAACAATGATGAAAATTATGGAAAACGGTTTCTGAAGACAAACACTAACTCTCGATCAAAGAGCTCCTTGATGCGATCCCATCCTCTGTCTGGGAACTCTGGCTTGCCCATGTTGGTTGGCATGCTGCTGGAAGCAAGGATGGGTGCAGGAACATGACTGGTCGAGGAGGAGGAAGAGGAAGAAGAGGGCAGCTGTGCAGACTGAGCAGCAGAAACATCAGCTGCATGGACCCTGGGGAGCAGGAAGCAGAAGGAAGGAGGCCTGGCACTCTGGATGAGGTCCTGCAGTAGGCCGGTGCTCAGCTTGCCCCGGGGGGCTGTATCTGCCTGTCGGCTCAGCATCACGCTTCAGCAGATGTTAGGCTGCAGCAGAGAAGCAGAAACACATGGCCATGGGCTGGGATGTTGCATTCACTACCTCAACTCAAGCTCCATGCTCAAAACAAACAGCTTTAAGGCAAAAGAAGCCCTAGCTGGACTACACAGGCTGTCTAACTCAGCAGCTGTTAAATGGTGCTGGCATAGCAACACACACTCTGCACAGACGTTCAGGGGACAAGATTCCTTTCTTGCCTTCAGAATGTGTCACTAAGATTTCACGGCAGCTGGGACCCTCGGGTCCTCTGAGCAGAGTGCTGTGGCTGGTCCAGGGTCAAAAGCTAAATCCCGATAATCAATTGCTTTAAACTTTTGTCCAGTTCAGTCTAGTGATGGAAATTAATTTAGTACAATTACTCAAGTACTGTACTTAAGTAGTTTTGAGATATCTGTACTTTACTTGTACAGTACATTTATTTTCTGCTACTTCATACTTGAACTTCACTACAGTTTAGAGACAAATATTGGACTTTTTGCTGCATTACATTTATTTGATAACTTCAGAGGCTGCTTTTCAGATTCATGTATATTTATATTCTGTATACACATAGTAAGTTATTGCCTTATTACACAACGCTACAGCTAATAAAATGTATCACCCTATGTGCATGTTTGATAGATAGATACAGTCAGGGAACAAATTAATTGAACCCCATCTGATTTTGTAAGTTTGCCCACTAACAAAGAAATGATCAGTCTACAATTTCAATGGTAGGTTTATGTGAACAGTGAGAGAGACAACAATAACAAAAAAAATCCAGAAAAATGCATTATAAAAAAAGTTATACATTAATTTGCATTTTCATGAATGAAATAAGTATTTGATCCCTTTGCAAAACGTGCTTTAGTACTTGGTGGCAAAACCTTTGTTGGCAATCACAGAGGTCAGATGTTTCTTGTAGTTGGCCACAAGGTTTGCACACATCTCAGGGGGGATTTTGACCCACTCCTCTTTGCAGATCCTCTCCAAGTCATTAATGTGTCGGGGCTGATGTTTGGCAACTCGAACCTTCAGCTCCCTCCACAGATTTTC